ATTCCTACACCCCTACTTGGAGGTTCATGGGGTAGTTATAAGTAGGGTTATAAGTCCCCATAATATGCGTTACAACTATGGTTACCCTACTTATAACTCCGCTTATGACTCCCCATGAACCTCCAAGTAGGCCATTTGCGTACACAGGTAGGGTCCTAACTGTAGCTAGAAAGACTATCACTAGTAGCCCTTCGTTCACGAGGCAGCGACCATCTTGGCCAATAATTGAAATTTCCGTCCCTGTGAGGGTCTTCATTTTAGGGATCCTACTATTCATGTAGGTTCAAATTAAACAGGGGTCTGCCATGCTCTGAAACTCCCCAACATCCCAAAGTTGGCGTACATTGTACATGATGCCCAAGGGCCAGAGAACCGAAAGCATGGTAGGGTTTCCTACGAATATATTCTTATAATGGCTTCTGTAAGGGTTTTGCAGCCTGTTGCCGTCTTCACTGCGCAGAACCTTGTCTACAGCATGGTACATTTTGCGGGTACGCAATTTGAGCAATTATAATTCTGCATGGAGTTAACCAACACCATAGGCAAACCCGAGAACACGCTTGATCCAACTGTCCAAGACCAAACCCCAAACATCCTGTTGCCTGTCAGACTTTCAAAGGACAGGCCGGCTTTTCTTCAACACAGCGGAGGCCACCGAGCATGCCGAGGCGTTCGGCAAGGACGGCGAGAGTCTGGAGCACTCTGTAGCATGCCAATAGTCTCCACTGTATTTCCTTTTTGGGTTTAAACATCTTTGTATTTAGGATCTTATAAGGTAACCCAAAAACAGAACTACGATGGATATTATAGGTGTTTTGTGGAGCGAGGAGACCCGGTGTGTTCACTTGGCTTTCTGGAATGGTTCCTTGTTCATGAGCCATCATCTTCTCCTGGTTCGCCATGACCACCCTATCCTGTGGATCATCATCATCAACAGCAGCAGCGCCATCATCAGCCTCAATCAGCTTTGCAAGACCAGCGTCACTATCATTCTCGGCTCCGTCAACCTCAACCTTATCAGTCTACATCGCTTCTTTGTTGCAGTGCCACTAGGAGCCAAGCTTGACGGAGCAATCCTCGTCTTAGCCGTAGCCGTAATGTACTTGTTGGGACAACAGGTTTGTGGTCGATATTTCGTTCAAACCCAAACCCTAAACCCTAAACTACCCTAAACCCTAAACCCCTAAACCCTAAACCCCTAAACCCTAAACCCTAAACCCAAAGATGCTGACGAAAGCTTTCATATCAAGGACGATCTGGGCAGTATAGTGGTTTTCCGTCAGATTGCCTGACTTTCTCAATCCCAGCTCTAAACGCTTAAGCCCTCAACCCTATAACCCTAAACCCCAAACCGCTATAACCCCAAACCCTAAAACCCTCTAACCCCTAAACCCTAAACCCTAAGACCCTAAACCCTAAAACTTCAAAGCCCTAAACGCTTTAACCCTATAAACCTAAACCCTACCCCCTACACCCCAAAGGCCCTAAAGCACCCAGACCACAGGAGTATGCCAACTTTGAGGAGGTTGGCCTGGACCATAAGGCCAGCGGCTGTGTGGGTCCAAGTACCTAATAATCATATCATATGGGTAGTTTTCTAAAGTAGGGTCCCTTTTAGGGTCTTCTTTATAAGGGTGCCGTATTGTATTGGGGACCAAAAAGGGGCCGTATTAATTTTATTTTTATTTAAAAATCCTTAAAGAGGTACAGTGTAGCTAGAAACCTACCTTTTTGGGTTCCGTAGTATGATTTCTTTATATAAGTCCTGAAAGAGGTAGGTAGACACCTACCTTTTTGGGGCTCCGTAGTATGATTTCTTTATATAAGTCCTTAAAAAGAGACTCTCCCAAATAGTAGCCTACATAACTACTATCCGAAACCTAAGCACCTGATTATTGGGCAGGGTAACCCTGAACTTAAACCCTAAACCCTAAACCCTAACCCTAACACTACACCGTAGACCCTAAACCCTAAACCCTAAACCCTATTGGGTCCTTTGGACCATAAGGCCATCGGCCGTGTCCCATGGAAGAGTGCGAAGCACCGGCTCATCCTTCAGGGTTTGGGGTTTAGGGGTTTAGGGTCTTCAGGGGTTTAGGGTCTTGGGGTTTAGGGGTTTAGGGTTTTTAGGGGTTTAGGGGTTTAGGGTTTGGGGCTTCGGGGTTTTAGGGGTTTAGGGGTTTAGAGTTTAGGGTGTATATATATATATATAATAAAAATATCCACGTTGCAAGTTAAGTACAGTTCATGCATTGCATACCCGTTGGCACAGAATGGAACAGCCTGGCTTCCAGTTATCTTGTTGTCATAACCTTGCCTCACTGCACTGTATGAAACACGCGAATGCGTTGCATGTCAGATCACGCGGCATCAGACATGGTGCAACGAAACATAGTTTATTTACCTTATGTACACACACGCACAACAGCATTGCAGCATAGTGCTCTGCACGAAGAAGAATATTACGTGTTTCCATATCGAATCTGACGACACTGATGGTGGCGGTAATAACCATGTTGATGCACGATGTACGCTTATTTGTGCATATCGAATGTGTGTATGTGCACAGACAGTTTGTATGTTCCTCAGATTATACGCGTGCATGTATATAAGTGGTTTAGTGTGCGTCTGTGTGTGTGTGCGCGTGTGATTGAAATTGAGGGTGTGACAGCGTAGATGAGTGACTGAATGACTGAATGACGGAGTGTCTGAGCGACTGAGTGAGTCACTGACTAGCTGTATGAATGGTGGAGCGGCTGTGTACAAGAATGTGTATACCCTATAAATATTTCCAGAAACGGACAAATATCAATCAAGCAGTCCCACAGAAACAGCCCACACCCTAACGGACACGCAAGCTAGCAAGCCAACAAGCGAGCAAGCAAGCAAGCAAGCAAGCAAGCAAGCAAGCAAGCAAGCAAGCAAGCAAGCAAGCAAGCAAGCAAGCAAGCAAGCAAGCAGCTTACTTGCCTCCCTGCCTGCCTGCCTGCCTGCCTGCCTGCCTGCCTGCCTGCCTGCCTGCCTGCCTGCCTGCTTGCTTGCTTGCTTGCTTGCTTGCATACATACATGCATACGTACATACATGCGTGCATACATACGTACATATGTCATGAGATACATCTACACAGTACATATGCGTATATGTGAGTATGCATACATACATTCATGCGTGTGTATACATACATATATATATATATATATGTATTACAGTCACATGATCCCACACACTCGCGTATACACAGACACACACATACAATGAAGTGATCATCTAGTTAAATGCATGTACAGGTCCACATAGTCCGGCATAGTCCGAAAAGTCGTGAAATGCATGGATAGACGGAAAGGTGAGCGCAAGGCTAAAAGTAGGCAGACATACACACGACCCTGTGTGTAAAGCTGGAGCTATTTGTATACCCTGGCCCGCAATCCGAAACCTGGCATGGCTCAACCAGTGGAGGTTAGACCGTCTCAATAAGGTCCCTTTTAAGAGAGCCAAAAGTAGGGTTCAGAAGGGGTAACCTTTTAAGGGGTACCCCTAACAATACTACCTAACCAGCTCAGGCTCCAAGCCTAGGTCGCTTATCCGAAACACTGGGGTCGGTGTAACGACCTCTTCGGCCAGTTTTTACAGGGCTGGCATCTGCGCCGGTATCGCAACTGGTTATCATTCACGACAGCAAGCTCGTGACAAGAAGTCGCAGGAAAGCCGAAACATGCGACACTGCGACTCTAGAGCTAAATCCCCCAACCGCTTGTCGAAAAGGTCTAGAAAACGAGGGCCCTTAATTTGGAACCCCACATGGTAGGATACGCATTATAACGCCGCTTGATAAATACGAACCTTGTTATAGCTTCAAGAACCCCTAGTCATCGTCTCTCCCGCTGGACAGGTTTGGGTCGCTGCAGAAACCAACCGGGTCTGCTACTCCGAAGCGGACGTCGCGAAGATGAAGGCTCCTGTGGGAGTTTAGGCTATTAGATGCTATTCGGGTTTAGGGTTCAGGGCAAGTTTAGGGTATATTAGGGTTTCAGAGTGTCTATGATTGCTTCAAGTCGGAAGGATAGCACAACATCGAGGCTGTTGGAAAGGATACTGCCTTTAGGGATATTTTTGTCGGTCGTAGTAGCTGGTTTGATACTTTGCATATATACAAGTCACGAGCAGCCTGCTGCAAAAGCAATCCGCAGACGAAGCCAGAAACGAGAGTCACTACTCCTTAACACCTAAACCCCCACAAAGCAGAGAAAATCATGGCCCAACACCCTAAACCCTAAACCCTAACACCAATAAAAGGCCAATGTTCTGCAGTGCAGGTGTTTAAGGTCCAGGTATGTGTAAATTTAAATTTAACCTGGGCCTCAAGGACTCCGGCTCGTAGGGCTTAGCGGCTTAGCATCTAGGGATTAGGGTTTAGGTCTTAGGGTTTAGGGTTTCTAGGGATTCGGGTTTAGCGGTTTAGGGTTTCAGGGTCTGCAATCGCAGCCAAACAGTTGAGACGCCTGCGGCTCAGGACTCGTACTTCGCGGGATTGAAGGTTTTTTCTGGCACCTTGCCCAGGCCCAAGCCGAAGCCCTACTTGGAGGTTCATGGGTAGTTCTAAGTAGGGTTATAAGTCACCCAATATGGGATATAAGTATGGTTACCCTACTCATAACCCCACTTAACTACCCATGAACCTCCAAGTAAACCCTAAACCCTAAACCTTAAACCCTAAACCCTAAACCCTCAACCCTAAACCTTGAACGCTAAACGCTAAACCCTAAACCCTAAACCCTAAACCCTAAACCCTAAACCCAAGCCCTGCACCAGAAGCCCGGAAGCCCGAAGTTGCAAAGCTCAAAGCGCCTCACGCCACGCATAGGTCCGGGATCCTGACTCCAAGACCTGGGAGGTGGGGGGGTTTAGGGTTTAGGGTTTGGGGTTTAGGGTTTAGGGTTCAGGGTTAGTTTAGGGTTCAGGGTTGAGGGTTTAGGGTTTAGGCAGAAATGCAAAGGCATTCCAGGGAATGCCAGCTGTCACACCTCTCGTTTCGGCGGCTTTGGCGGGTAGAGCAAGGGGTCCTGATGAAGCAGTTTCATTAGGGCTAGGGGGTATTTGCAATTCACTCCAAACCCTAAACCCTAAACCAGCCTAAACCCTAAGCCCTAAACCCTAAACCCAATGCGACAAGTTGCAGCCGCTGCTTGCAAGGGCAAGATATGTCCAACACGCGCGAAACCAAGGGCTTGGGATCCGGTCTCCCAGATGGGACTACAAGCCGCTGGAATTGGTTTAGGGTTTAGGGTTTAGGGTTTGGGGTTTACGTTTTAGGGTCCTTAGGGTTTAGGGTTTAGGGTACCAATGAGGACTAACCCCTAAACCCTAATCCCTAAACCCTGAACCTTAATCCCTAAATCAGCAGTAGCACCAAAGAAATCCCAGACCGTAGCTCCCAGTGGCTCTCGGAACACCACATCGATATCTCAGGCATCCAAAGCCCTCACATATAGTTTCGGCGTTTCTACTTCGGGTCGGCGCCTTGAGCCAGCAGGAGGATGAAAGACGGCTTCTTGCAAACCAGCTTGGTGATTCGGGCCTGCCACAGAGCAGTGCAAGACAACGCCCTGCCACTACGTGTACACACATCTACATATATGTTATATGTAGTACATGTATTATATGTATTATATGTAGATTTATAGCTAACTATTCTTTATTCGTTTACTTATGCATTTACCTGTATAGACATATTCACAATGCTCCGCCCTCCACCCTGAGCATTAATATTGAAAAACCCGAACGCTGCTACAAACCGCCCAAACCCGAAGCTTTAGCCCCCGATCACGGTTCACTCACAAGCACCAAAAACCCTCTAAACAAACCCAACAATGCGCAGCTTCAGACGTTTCCGGCGAGCTCGAAGCCTGTATAGGCGCGCATAGTTATACTAATATTTGTCCCTTCCTTTTTAGAACTATGCTCTAGTACATCCCCAAATCTTCTTCGAATCGTTAAGGCTCATAAAATATGTACATATTATGATATGTCCATGCGATTGAAAGTTGTGTGTGTGTGTAAGCAGACAAGTATACCTCCGTAGAAGTTTTAAATAAGTATAAGTATAAGTAAATAAATAAATAAATAAATAAATAAATATATATATATATATATATATATATATATATTTGTTTTTATATTTATCTATATTTATATTGATATTAATATTTATACTTGTTTATACACATATGTTGCATGTATGTACATACATACGTATGTATGTGGGTGTGTCTGGACATATATCGTTCTGCCTTCAGGCATACATAGCGTGTGCTTGCAAAAACACCGCGATCATGTAGACGGAGACAAAGGTCCGGAGGACACTGAGAGGTGGAATCCTAGAACCCCAACCTCGAACCGTTGCAAGTTAAGCTTCAACGCTCCGAGGTCGTGCTGCCAAGCTACTCGCATGTCGCCAAAGGCCGCCCTCCTCTGCTAACAAATGCGTGCGGGAGCATCGGGTTTGTGTTTTGGCGGCGTTGGGGTGTTCGGTTTCTGGGGCTCACAGTTTAGGGTTTGATCTTAGGGCTGGGGGGTTTTGGATAAAGAGCCGCAGTTTGCGGTTCAGGTTCTGGGTCTGTCATCTAGGGCAAGCGATGGTAGTGATCTGCCACTACTGTAGGTGCCGGATTGCACGGTCACCTATACCTTCTACAGTTGCGACATGGCGAGTTGGTCTCAGGACTACAGGCAGTGACAGGTAGTAATACACACATTGAAACACCGGCAGCTGCGAGATAACCCGGACAAAGCATGGGATTCGTGTACACCGCTACGGCCACTGAGAACTCTGTACTTGGAGGTTGAAGTAGGGTTATAAGTAGGGTACTTATAACCTATATTGGGGGCTATAACTCCACTTATAACTACCCATGAACCTCCAAGTACATGACATGTACCCATGCCAGCCCTATACTCATCTATATACCCTAACCCTAAGCCCTGTAAATCTGTCGCAATGTAAACCTCCCACTGAAACCGAAGCCTTAGCCCCATGACCGCCCTTGAAGTCATATTGTATATCACATCCCTAAACCCTAAACCCTAAACCCTAAACCCTAAACCCTAAACCCTATGATCAGGAGGCCTTGAAGTCGCCTCGCCTCTGACACCCCTGAACTCTTAAGGTTTAGGGTTTAGGGTTACTGAACTTTAGAGCAATTTATGTGGGTTTAGGGTTTAGGGTTTGGGGTTTAGGGTGTAGGGTTTAGGGTTTAGGGTTTAGGGTGTAGGGTTTAGGGTTTAGGGGGGGAGTTAGGATTGGGGGGACCCTTAGACCCTCTCAATAAGGTCCCCTTGAAGAGAGCCATAAAGTAGGCTTAAGCAGGGACCCCTGCAGGGGTCCCCCTAATACTACCCAGGATTAGAAGCCTGACCCCCAAGCTGCTGCCATAAACCCAGCAAGCCCGACAAATCAGACATGATGTAGGGGCCTTAATGATTAAGAACAAGCTTTTGGGGTACATTCTACTATAATTAAAAATCGTATAGATAATTATTTAGGCCCCTGTAACACATCATTGCAGAAGAGTCCCCTAAACACTAAACCCTAAACCCTAAACCCCACAAAGAGCACCTCCCAGGCGATGGGGCAACCAAGGACACAGGCACCGCCCAGCCTTTCAAGGGGTTAAGTGTTTAGGGGTCTAGGGTTTAGGGGTTTAGGGTTTAGGGTTTGAGGTTTAGGGTTTGGGGGTTTAGGGGTTTAGGGTTTAGGGTTTCAAGGACTCAGACTTTCTTTGGTTGGTTGCTCTGAGGTAGTAGGGTTTCGGGTTCAGACATATCTAGGGGTTTGGGTTCGGGGTTTTGGTTTGCTAGGGCAAGTTTCGGGTTTCTAATCTTCATGCTTAGACTTCGCATGTGGCGGCTTGTTCGGAGATTCTGGACAAGACGGAATGGTGCAGAAGAACAGACACACAGAACAACAAATCCGGATACGCGCTTCCACTACGCTCTTCGGTATCGCATCTGTCATTGATACCGCTGTTACTTTCGCAATAACTTGTATGTGTGTGTGTGTGTGTGTCTGTGTGGCTTTCGCCTGCTAGCTGCTAGCCTTCTACGATCAAGAGCAGCCCTAAACCCTACACCCTAAGCCTACACCCTGAAACCTGAGGCACATGGTCTTTGAGGGCATGCAGTCTATGGTTTAGTGTTCGTGGCTCTTTCAGAGTCGACTCCGAGATCTGGTATTAAGGACTGGGTTGGAGTTTTGGGGTGCTTAAGTAACTCTATAAGAACCATCAGGGAAATTTTAAAGTTTCTTACAGTGCCACCTACAGGAATCTAGTTGTTCATATGTTCCTTCCTGGAAGCCTGGTTCTAATTCGGAGACCTGATTTCGCGTCTTCTCTCGTCCGGGCTATCCTGCAGGCACTTCTCTGGGTTTAGGTACATGAAGCTTCGAGGAAGCAGACCCCTGGAACCAACAACGCCTGGGCAGCTGGGAAAGAAGTCTGTGTTGCTTAATGTAGGGGCCTTAATAATTAGAATAGGTCTTTGATGTATATTATAGCCTAATTATCATGAAACCCCCAAAATAGTATAGGTAATCATTTAGGCCCCTACATTAATATAATTTCTGATGGGCCCAGGCAAGGATGGCCTCCCTCAGCATCCCTCTGCGCACCAGGTCGGATCGATGCATTTCGCCGGATTTCCCCCAAGGGAGTGTACCCAGAGACTCCAATATCCCTTAATTAAGGAATATGCAGATAGATAGATAGATAGATAGATAGATAGATAGATAGATATATATATATGGAGATATTACTAAAGGTGAACGGTTTTAATAAGATGATTGATGTTTATTACGCGTTCAACGATTCCTACTATAATTCAAGGTATATTCCTTAATTAAGGGATATTGGAGTCTGTGGGTACCAAGCTGGCAATACCAGCGAAACTGAGTCGAAAGGGGACCGGCCAAGTCCCGAAGGTCGCAATCTAAGGCAACAAGGAACGTCTTGAGAGCCCCGCGCGAATCTAACGGTTGCCCAAAAGGGCTTTCAAGAAACTCTGCTGTCAGTCTTCTTCTTCTGCAGAGTGGCGGAAGTATACTGAATCGGTGGATCAGGCATCTGCCTAGGCAGGAATACAACTCATGACACGTCATGGGGAATCGCTTCGATTCCCCCGTGGGTTTTCCCCTGTTACTTGGAGGTTCAAGGGCACTTGTGGGGGTTGTAAGTCCCCGAATTCAGGTTGTAACTATAGTTCTCCTACTTATAACCCTACGGCCCTACTGGTAACTACCCATGAACCTCCAAGTAGGCGTCATTCAGATCAAAGGAAACTACAGGTGGGGAGTTTAGGATATATAGGGCTTCTATAAGGCTCCTATAAGGTATAGACCTTCTATAAGGCTCCTATAATGGCAACTACCCACCTGAAAATGTCCTAGATCAGAGCAATGGAACAGTGATGTGCATGCCTTCCCCCCGGCCTCTCAGAACCCAAAGGCCCCGAAGTGAACCAAAGCCCCAGCTCGATTCGACTTCAGAAGCCTCGAGGAGCCCTAAACCCTAAGCCTAGTAGGATAGCTAGGGTTCCCTATGATTCCCGAAGCCCCCCTAAACCCTAAACCCTAAACCCTAAACCCCTAGAAAGCCAAGCCCTTCAAGTCGAAGGCTCTGGGTTCATGCTGGGTAATAGGAGAAACCCGAAACCCCACCCTCAGAAACCCCCATCCTAAACCGTGGCCGACTAAGAGCTCCAAGACCTAATTTTGGGGCGGTAATAACAAGGTTTTGGGGTCCTTTTATACTATAATTTACAACAAGGAACCTCAAAATAATGTAGGTCATTGTTGAAGCCCCTATAGGGTCCTTTATACTATAATTTACTATAATTTAATAATAAGGAACCCCCCCAAAATAATATAGGTAATTATTGAAGCCCCTATATTAAAACCCTAAACCCCGAAACCCTAAACCCTTTAGCCATGAAAGCGCCAAGCCACGGATCGCGGCAGCCATGCCCCAGGACAGCGCAGCTACCAGGACGTTGATGACACCTTGGAGGGGAAGTTGTACTTCGTTTATAAGGGTTTAGGGTTTAGGGCTTAGGGTTTATTATAGGGTTTAGGGTTTAGGAAAATAGTGTTGGTAATTACTTAGGCCACTATATAAGCGATTAACAGCTTGGGTACATGCAAACTCCCCTGGATTGTATCCCAAACCCTGACTCTAAACCTACACCGGGTGTCTTGACCACCAAGCCCAGCTACGCCAGCCCGACACTCCGCAGATGTTCTTCCGGGCCCAGCAGGTCGTTGCAAATGTTACCGCGGCACTCCTTTGCCATTGCTGGGGAGACTTGGGCTCAGGGACAAATCCAGAAAGCCTTTTGCGAGGACTTACGTAGATTCTGACATGTCATTCCTTTGCTCTCAACTGCTACAAGTAACTTCCCTACTGCAGCAGAGGCTCATCAAGGTACTGGCTGACTGAAGCCAGCCAAAGGCCTTCCCACGTCCAGACTCTGGATAGAGCTCGCAGATCATCGCTTGGCCGATGGGGGTCACGACCTCTTCGAGGCTCAAGAGGCCTAAAAGTTGAAAGTGAACAATCACAACCCACTGCCTAAACTTCGAGTCCAAAGCCTGGACCACGACATACAAACCAGATCGAGACCTGCAAGTTTTGACAGAGTTCAGTTGAAGTCTCATTCAGACATGATGTTGGAAAAGGTCTGTTACGAGGTGCCTGTGAGACGACATGTATCATGCAATGTTTCTTTGCAGCATTGTGGTGGCATGAGAATGTACGCACCTCCTGACAGGTCAGGATGGAACTTTGTCTCGAAGACTGTCAGTTTTACTGTTTTAGCTGGTGAGGGGCGAGGTACGACCTGATTAGGGCCAGTGAAATCCCAGTGGTACCCTTACAGTACTCTTGGAACCTTATCATGCCGTTATGAAGGGAGACCCGAACTCGGTATCTGGAGACATGGGTTCGAAGTTGGGTTTAGGGTTTAGGGTTTAGGGTTTAGGGTTTAGGGTTTAGGGTTTTGGGTTTAGGGAATTCTGCAGTGCTAGAGTCAAGAGGACACATCTTGAGCATGAGACATTTTTATTGAGCAGAGACGCCCGAAACCCCAAAACTCATGACACCCTGAACCGTTTCAGCTGGAGCAACCAACGGGGGAGGTCTGGAGCGCGAGCCCAGAACTGTATTATATTTTATATAGTTCATACGGCATGAATACGTATAATATATATATATATATATATACATACATACATACATACATACATACATACATACATACATACATACACACATATATGATATACAGTATTAAACAACATGTAATACACAGTATATAATGGTGGCACTCAAATGCAACGCAGCAGCCGCGAGGGAGACGCCGACCACCAGTCTCAGCATGAGATGAATCCACAGATTCGAACCTCATCGTCGTGGATTTCCAGTTCTTTGGGGCTTACATTGGTTGTCCATTCTTCAACAGACAGACAAGATTCGCTCGAGATTTGTTGCAACGAAGAACCTTATCGGGTCAGCACCGATGGGTTGAAATTGCTGGATTTACCAACTTCAAGAGAAATACCGCAAAAGCGTTGTGGTGGGCTTCGACAAGTCGGTATGCTTTGTTTTCCGTTGGGTTGCTAGGCTTCCCCGTCAAGGCAGCTGACTCAACAAGTAGACCCCTCCAAGATGCAATTCGGAAAGAGTCTGTGCCTGCGTGTTGGTTCGGGGACCACGTGTCTACTCAAACTTCAGCTACTGAGTGGTTCCCCGAAATCGGACCCGTAGCAACTTATCTATTCAGGGGCTGACTACAAATGTCTGTGCAGTGATGTGATCAACAACCCGCCCTTTCGTAAACCTGAAAAGCCCGCCAATTTAGCCGGCTAAATACTCAGCCGATTTTAGGGTGTAAGCACGCAGCTTAGGAAAAACACGAACTACGTTAGACATCCAGCTAGACTTGATGCTTGACCTCTGCCGGTAACGTGCCAAATCTTCAAGCCCTGAACCCTAAATCCATAAACCTTAAACTTCAGCCCAAAGGCGCTAGCCGCTAGATGCGAAACACCCAAAGCAAAGGATTCCCAACTACAGACGACCAGAGCACTCATGGCCAAAAGGAAGGTAGCTGCGCCCCACATCATGCAGCCTGGGCTTCCCACAAACGGCTGTGAACCTCACATTCGGTTCCGGGTTTAGAGGTCTAAAGGTTTAGGGTTTAGGGTTTAGGGTTTAGGGTTTAGGGTTTAGGATAAAACTCTTCAAAAAGACCTCTTTTGAGCCCTCACTGCAGGAGCTCCGCAGCAACATTACACCAAAATCCAAGTCCCGTAAAAAAACGCACATTCCACAACCTCAGTCGGAAGTGCAGGTAATGGGTCAGCGTGAAGTACACGTAGAACCGCCAGTTGGCGTTGCCAGTCAAACTGTCCATCACAGTCGTCGCGGGTTTGTGCAATGCGGTATCTGAAGGGTATGTCGTAGACTTGAGCGAGCACTGTGCGAACATGTGGACGTTGTCGTTCCAGTCCCATCGCTGAGTAGAAGTGGAAGACTTCATGGTCGTTACAATTGTAGAGGCAACAGGCTGGTCGATCGCTGCAGCATTGTTCTTCAATGAAGAGTTCATCTGCGACTGTCACCTCCTGCTCCTTCTGGCGTTCTGCTGCACGGTGCCTGGAACGTCCTTTTGAAGTGATTGGCAAGTGCTTCATTCCAGGCTGGTTTGAGCTGGGGATGTTCTGTTAGGCGTTGGGTTTTTGGCTTTATTTGTTTGTCGTTCAGTCTTCATTCCAAGCCAGGAGAGGAACAGCGCATGGGCCGCTTTGGACGGTTCTGGTGGACGGTGAGTCTGGTCCGATCAGCAAAAGGCATGCTGATCGTGATCTGGTACGGCATGAGGTGCACGCACATCACATCCAAAACGAGGTGCGCGCACAGTCTAAATACTCGTCTGCTTGAGCCACTAGGTGGTTGATCACACTGCCTTTGTCGCCGATCTTGGCTGGGTACAGCCGTATCAGGTCTGGCAATACTGTCTGTCGCGCCGGTGCTTGGATGACTCGCTGCATTGCCGGCTGCAGAGTGTTCGGCACCAGCATGGCGCCAAATGTAGGTTTTGCTGCTTTCTTCGTCGGTGGCGCACACGTGCTCGGCAGGTTTGATGCTACTGCCGCCAGTGTCCGGGCCCAGGCAGGCTGATCCTGCTTGGGCATGTGAGCTCGCCACCATGTGCAGGTGTAAATATTTGGCGGCCATGTGGGCCACAACTTTGTCAAACGATACGTATGCTCCGCACGAAGGTCTTGCAGGATTTTGTTGCAAGGAAGACTGCCACCGCTCAACCTTTTGCTGTGCGAGCTGTGCTGTTGGTGTGTTGCTGGCAAGCATTCCAGGAGAACATAGCATCGAAGCCGTGCTCTTGTGAGGGATGCAGAATTATATCCCTCTATAGGTGCTGGGCCAGTATGTTACCTGCTCTTGGAGGGTGGGGTGAGGTAGGCTGGCCACGACTCGAGACCTCTGGTTTCTTTACGTCCGCTGCTGCCTGCAGGACTCTGGACTCCAGGAAAAAGGGTTTTAGAGTTTTAGGGCTTAGGGCCTTAGGGTTTAGGGTTTAGGGTTTAGGGTTTTAGAGTTTTGGGGCTTAGGGTTTTGGGGTGAATGATGACTTGAGCAACTGCTCAGAGGCTAGGCGAGACTTCGTTTCCCTGCAGAAAGACATGCCACAAGGCACCGCAACCTTCCTGGATGTGGACACTGTATGACTATTGGGAATTGGACCCTGCCCCCAGCTGCACTAGCCCAACCCAAGATAAAGCATCGGAATAAACACTCAGGGTTCAACCCCATAGAACGGCAAACGTGTTTGCTTGGGTGTGCGTAGTGTGCTTCTGGGTTTACTCGGATAAAGCCTCAAACTCACCTCTATAAAAACTAAGCCTTGTGAGCCCCTAAGCTGTAGAAGCCTTCAAGCTTGTAGCCGAAAGGCCAGATGCCAGAAGGTTCCTTCCACAAGTGAGCTGCAGTAGCCAGCCCCACACAGGCAAGGCAAGGGAGCAAGCGATGCTCCTCGATCGGCCCAGAAGCTCAGGTGCTGATTAGGGCTGCTAGGCCAGGGCTTTCAACTTGTGTTGGTATTGCCGGCGATGGTGATAGTACTCCTGCTGATGATGATGATGATGACCATGATGATCATGTTGGTGATGCTCGTTATCATGGTGGTGACGAGAAAAAATACTGGTGACACCGAAGCCAACGATTTTACCTCTTTGGAGCACTTTCCTGATGATGATGATGGGTGATGTGCAAAACAGTCCCTGTCGCTCATGTACCACTGCTCGTCCCAACTGTCCTGGACAAATCTCTAGAATGAATGCTCTTGGGTCAGCATGCTACTCTTCTCAAACCTCGTCTGAAATGGAAGGGCTTGGTTTGAAGCCCAGACTGTATGGCATCTACGCAGACGGCATGAAGCCCTGGCCCTTTCATGTGTCCGCGACGCTTCGATATTGTCCTGCAGAAAGCTATCTCGTGGCATGAACCGCCTGCTCTAATTTCGCAGCAGCTCAAAACATGATTCCGTGAATGCGGCAGCCGCAGTACCTCAAAAAGCATGGTTTTGTGGAGGCGCCTCAACACGCCTTGAACGTATCATCCAGCAGCAACAAATACGGTTGATGTTATAAATCCTGCATAATAATACGGAACATACCATAATCCCCATAGTTTAGGGTCCTTCAGGTAATGCAGTATTTACATCATCAACAGTGTCGCAGAGATTCCGCGGACCGACTTGGAGCTCAAGCTGAAAGTCCGAACTGCAACCCGCCCAGCGGCTGAGAGAAGTTTAGCAGCCCGAGCTCTGCCGTGCCCACCTACAGTGGTACAGGGTTTAGAGCTTCGGGTTCAGGGTTATAGGGCTTAGGGTTTCGGGTTTAGAACTTCGGGTTCAGGGTTAAGGGCGCGCCTTTTTCCTGAGACAGGCTGTAGTGGAATGCCTAAGTACTTAATACAAGACTCGCCGCCGCCTCTGCCTAGCTCGGCACGGCATGCAAAAGTGGTCAAATGGTCAGCATTGTTTACACAGGCTCCAGATCCACTAGCTTGAATCTTGAAGTGAGAGCAGGGCTTCCATAGTAACATCCTTTCGCTGGGATACTCCTGATTACTGCTAATTGTCCATGACTGTAGAGCTGTCGGATACCAGCAGCTTCTAGCAAAACATCGGCAAGCAAGACGTGGACATGCTCAGGGCAATGCTGCACCCCGAAACGTGCTCGGACGATGACTAGCCCGAGTCAGGGATCGACAAGCCACATGCAAAACACCACCAGCGTAAATCCTAAACCCTAAACCCTAAATAGGGTTTACGGTTTAGGGGGCGGCGGTGATGGTGCTGCTGACGATGATGGCAGAGGTGCTCGAAGACATCGGTGGCGCGACGGCATGGACGGTGTTGGTGACCATGATGTTCGTGTCGACAACAATGATGATGGCGCTGATTGGCCGCTGATGATGATGGTGACGATGATGGAGGTGGTTGATGACAAACCTGATGGTGAATGGAATAAAAAATACATAATATATCCGTGTCTTCCGTTAGCCCTGCTGCTGCTTAGTGATGCTGATGATGCTGATCTCTCCCTACTTCCACGGCCAAAAATCTCCACCTGCCGATGCCCCAAGCAGAAGCCTCAACCCCCGTCCCCAGCACGACGTGCCGGTGAAGACCCAAACCCTAAACCCCGCACCTGAAACCCACAAGAAGAAGCTACCGTCGCGAGCCTGCAGCTGCTCCGAAAGAGCAGCAAAGGATGCAGGAAGCCTTTGCTCGGAGGTTCATGGGTAGTTGCAAGTGGGGTTACAAGTCCCTTTTTGCAGGTTACTACTTTAGTTATCCTACTCATAACTACCCATGAACCCTCCAAGTAGAGCCTAGGAGTCAACCAATTACCCTTAAAGCGTTAAGCTGTCGGCTCGGTGGTAGGGCAGGCGCATGCCAGAGCATGAGAACCACTGAACGACTGAACGACGACTGGAATCGTATGGGAGTTTCCGACAGCAAGGGGTACCTTATTTTGGGCTCATTATTATAATAGGGAGCCTACTATTTAGGGTACTGTATATGGGTCCCCTATTCTCGGAAATCCCCACATGGGCACCTGGAAACAGTACAGACAGTTGTGGATATGACGTTGATATATATATATATATATATATGGTTTTGTACATGCAGCCCGACAGCGTGACACCCCATGTCATGTGGCGACGAATCTGGGTCAAGCCAGGGTATACAAGTCCGCGGCACCCATCCAACATCGACCCTATCTCACAAAGTACTCGCCTGCAGAACGTTAAGATTGCAATGGAGTCTTTGCCGTAAATTGCCACAAAAAGAACTGCTGACAGTTTTTGACCCTAAACTTCAAGCCCGCCATGTGCTTGGAAGCCTGATGCCCAACAGGTGATGACCGTAAACAAAGCAGAGACAATATCCTTCAAGTTGATTGTGTTGAAGCTGTGTGAAGACACGCACTCACGAGCACCACACACACACACACACGAAAAGAGTCTGTTTTGGTCTATACCCACCCATCCGTCTCTTGGTAGTTAAAGACATGCCCCTATTGGTCTCTCGCCCTCTTCCTCCCGTCGAGGCTCTCATCGCTACCTCCTGAACATTACGCGCACCCGAAACCCCAAACTAAACCCAAAACGCTGAACCCCAAACCGTTTCAAACCTTCCGAGCAACAGAGCGCCATCCATGGCCCCCAAGGCACAGGCCTGAGGCAGCGTCTGCTATCTTGGCTTGTGCCTAGGATTCGGGTTTCTGTAGCGCGTACTTTAAGGGTTCCTTAAAGCTTACGATGAAGTGCGGTTAAGTTGTACTATGAGGGGTTTAGATGTGTTGATGTTTTGGGGTTTGAAAATGTAGGCTTGCTGCTTGAGGCGTTCCTTTCAGCTGCACCAAACCAAGCCCGTAGGTGGTCACGTCCTCGAGCCGTACAGCAGTTCGTCCTGGCGATAACGGTAACGTGTTGAGCTCGGGATACATACAGTCCCAGCGAAGCTCTCAACTAAAGTATACCAAACTGTAACCTCCGGCAACAATCCCACGAGCATGCTAAACAAGCAGCGGCGACAGCATCGGTCGTCCTAGTAGTAGTCGTCGTCGCGTCGTCGTCATTGGTGTCGCTGGTGTAGAAATGCAAATGGGAGCTTGGCTTGATGTGAAGGGCTCTTGGTTTGTGAACGGTCTCGGGTTTAGGGGTCTAATGTAGGGGCAATAGAATAGGGTTTTGGGGCCCATTAAAATCTAACAATAATCAGGAGCCCAAAAATAGGATAGGTAATTCTCTAGGCCCCCTATATTGGGGGTCTAGGGCTTCAGATCGGGGGCTGAGCCGAGCAGGCAGGCATTGAGTTGCCGACATTCATCACGACCTCGGCACGATGCGAGGGCTGCCGCTTGAACCCATGCGTCCGAGTATCCACAAGCCCTGCAAAGCCGAAAACCCAAACTTCAAAGCCCCAGCTAGGGTTTCCCAAGGCAGCCCTTCGTTAAAAGATCCTACAACAGAAGATCTTACAACGCCAGGACAGAGCTCATGTCCTCTTCTGAACCTAGCTTCTCATCAAGCGACATCGACAATGCTGAGCCTATAAGAGTCTCGTTAACATGCCGGACGGAAGCCCCCTTAACCACTCAACTATTAAACTCCTAGGCCTCATAAATATTGGGGACCCCAAAAGGGACCCTAATTTAGAGAACTACCCTTATAAGATCCTAGGTAAGGAGCTTGCAGTTCATGAGGTGGGGTTATCCTCATAAAGATGGGCTTAGATCTGCGAAGTTTTCACGACAAACTACCCCTGGCCAAGGGCAAGAGAGGCCAGGCTCGGCTTGTGCTTGATGCCATGGAAGACGTGGCAAGTGGGCATACAGTTGTAACTAGGATCAAAAATAATATAGGGACCTTAAACATTGCCTATACTCTTTTTGTTGGGGGGGGGATTCCTTGTTGAAACTAGAATTTAATCTACACCGAAACTCTCTTCTAAATGTTGAGGCCTCTACATTAGCCCAGGTACGTTGTATACCCAGGTAATCATTGTTGATGACCTCTCCCCGCTCTCCACACCCAGGAATGAAGGCTTCTGGCTTGTGGGTGCCACTTTATAAGACATGATGCTTCTAAAACTTTTCTCTCTCTCTCTCTCTATGTATGCATGTATGTATGTATGTATGCATGCATGCATGTATGTATGTGTATGTCTGTGTATGTATGTATGTATGTATGTATGTATGCTTGTTTGCATGTATGTATATCTATCTATATGCTGACACGGGGTTACTGGCAGCACCGTCTGCACACATAGGGCTTATCGGGCAGAGACAAGGCTGTTGTAGCACCTCCCCACCTCGGTACCAGTCCAAACCAGTACAACTGTGGCCCTATAGTTGATAAACAACAGAAAAGGTAGGTACCGGNNATATATATATATATGTATGAAGGTATACAAACGAAAAGGTTATATGCAGATATGTATGTGAACACTAGTATATATATATACATACATACATACATGCGTATATATGTATATATATACATATATATATATATATATATGGGCATCATCTTTACGAATGTTTGCAGATCCTGTCCTGTTTAGGGTTTTCCTATTAGACAAGCGTTTTCTTAATTATTAGATAGGGTTTGCCTGTGCGGCTTCGGTTTTCATACTACGCCCTTGTCTGGGGAGCTCCCATTTAAAACGAAGGCGTGGGTTGGCTGCGACTTCATGTTCCTTGATGTTCTATATTCGAAAAAACCCCGCGAATTCTTGAAGCTACTGTAGCGTGCACATATGTATATATATATATACACATATACACACATACATACATACATACATACATACATACATACATACATACATACATACACAGGCACACACGAAAACACAAACACACACACACACAGTGTTATATATAGATATATATGTATATACACGTACATACACGCATATTTATACAACGAGACCGAGAAACATAAATATAAATGTGAAGATAGAGATAAAAGC